TCATATGTGATTTGAAATTGCCTTAGAAATATATTTGAAGTTATTGCCTTAACAATAACCTATCAGAATTTAAATCTGTTTTTAACACCAAGGAGTAGTATTTAGAGTATAATTGGTTTTACAAACTTTCTTTCTGTGTCAATCTCTTGCAGGATTTTGTGCATTTTTCTCTAGTTTCCTGGCCAAATGTCAAATGTCTCGACGGGAAGGAAAACCAATGTGGATTTGGAGCGTTGAGTGAGCGTGACAAATGCAATTACACGGCGTCTGCCATCCCAAAAAATGTCAGAACCTCTGGGACTGCGATCCCACAAAAAGCATCTGCTTTCCCGCTGGGTGAGGGTGTGGGCGGGGGAGGTAGGGGGGTGGAATAAGGACCACACCCCATAACCTTTGACCTCACCTTGCTGCCCATCCTCTGGATGTGCGTTAAAAGTCACGATTAAGCGCCGCATCAACCCACCGAATCCCAAAACTCCCCGATGATGAGTTGTTGACTCTTCTTTTTTTTGGGTTTTCTGTTTTGTATTTCCAGTTTTCTGAGTTTACTCTCTGTCGAGGGTGGATGTTGGCATGGGCTTGGCTTTCGGGGCATAAACTGCATGAAATTAAGTAATTAACTGGCTGAACTTCGCTCCACAGGTCACCGCAGCAGGCCCAAAAGGTCACATCAATATGCCATCAGTCGTGATGAATGTGTGCAGATTTATCAAATCCCATGATGATTAAAATGATGTTAATGTTAATACATTAATAGGTAATACCACATGATGGCTTATTTAAGGATTCTACTCAAGCCCAAATATTTAGTAATAGCGTCCTTCAAAATACACATAAAAATATGACAAATATTACGTTTAAAGATAAAAAGTACTATAAAAGCATATTAGGTTCACAGTAAAAGAACTATAGGCTAGTAACAACCTTAAATCCTTGGGCTTATTCTAAGTAATTGCTTAGGTAGTAATTGGTTATAATCAATAAACTGATTATATTAAAAATACAACACATTATGTATTACTAGATATATATTTTCGTATTTAACAGAAACTGAACATTTTGTATCTTTTTAGGGGCCTATAATTTCTAAATAAATCACAATTACTGGCAAGTTAATAAGTAAGTAATAGAAAATTAATAAATATCCTTTGGTAAATACATGTATATTTCTAATTGGATACAGTAGCCCTAAAAAAACCACAAGCGACACATATAGCCTTTCACATCTCTGTTAATTTTGTTCCCGCCCAAAAGTTGCTCCCAAATCGAGGCATATAATTAGTGACTTGGTCTCGGGATCGGAATCGGGATTGGAATCGGGGATCACACAGCTGTTAGGTACCGACTGATTGCCGCGAAATATACGTTATATGTCTCACTTGAGCACAAAACGAGTTTGCCCCCTGAGAGAGCTTTGCTGGCCCCTTCGGTTCAGGGTTCCCGAATCCCGATTCCTATATCCTCTAGTCGCATAGTCGCAGTTCTTGTCGGACATGACATAGGAAAACAATAGTCGTGGACAATGGACCACTCTAGCGTCCGTATATAGATATGTGGAACAAAGGGGCCGGGAGTGACCAACGGTCGAGGAAAGTTCCCATCGGCGAACTAAGTAAATGGGAATGTACAAATAAAAGTAAATATGGACGAAGGAGGCGCAGCAAAGCGAGAGATCGCGAGAAATGCAAATTAGGCACTGACCATTGTCCAGTGTTAAGAATTAAGAACAAGGGGTTGTTGCTTTTGCCTTTCCATCGTCCCGATTCCGGAGGTCGTCTTAAGGTGGGATATTGCACTGCAGTTTTATCGCATCCCCGAATTCCAGTTTCCGTTGTGCTCCCATTGTAATGAGTTCGCGCTCGTTATTCACTCACCTTACCTCACCTCACCTCACCTCACCCCGTTCCCGTGGATGTCTCACCCTTCGCCTACATCCCGATCCCGATCCCGATCCCGTACCCGATCCCTCCCCGATCCTCTGACCCTTCCCTGCCCCCTTTGGCCTTGCCAGTTGCAGTTGGTCAGCAGTCATCGTCATCAGGCCTTAATTTACGGGCCCGAGGGCCCCGAAAACGGCGACCTCATTTGAATATTAGTTGGGTTGGTCCTTGGTCAATGATCTTGATTTGGGCCTCGGACCTCTGTGAAATTGCCACCGCCAAGACATTCTCACATCCTTATGCATTACACGCTTGACCAGCCGATCCAACCATCCCCCCTCCCCGCTGAACTCATATTTCATTTGGCTGACCAGTCTTGACCAGCCATCCCGTTTTCGGAGCGGTCAACATGCGTATTACAATTTGATCCGGAATCCCTTGATTAGGAATTTGTTCTATGACGCAGTCACTTTTCTGCGACCCTTGCAATGGGCCGTTAATATTATAATTTATAGATCCGCGGCCAAGGTCCTGCCGCATCCTTTCTGGGTTAATGAGAGTTTGATCTCGCGGCGATTTATCTCTGGTCTCCCAGAGGGCAGGCCATGCCAGGATCTTATTGATGGGATTAGCTGGCAATGGGGTTATCTCACTGCCAGATTTCCCAGGCCAGTTTGGACCTCGGTTAAACATTTTGGAACGAAAATTAACCAAGAGTGCCAATGAATATTTATAGCGAAATATGGCAATTTGTAATTGGGAGTTTGGTCATTAAAAATATGTACTTTCGGTTCACCTTTCTGCAAGCTATTGAAAACTTACAAAATATGTTTTTTTATTGTATTGATTTGTTAGTTTTTAAAACCTTGTGAGGAATAGTAATGTAAGACATACTATATAATAGGGAATATCAACGATTTTCTTCAAGAGGCGTTAAAGCAAAGTGTTTTTCTTTATTTTTCGCAAACTGTCATAATTATTTGTATTTTCCCTTCAATAAACAAGCTGTATGGCTGTTTTTTCGGATATATCCCCATTTTAACACGCTCCATTTTAGCCACCGTTTGATCTTTTCCCTGTTTTTTAGATGTCCTGAAATACTTAGGGTCCTTAATTGCAAGTTGTTTCTGTTTCTGTTTCGGTTTCAGTCACAAGTCCAGCTGAGTTCGGGATATCCTGAGTCGAGGACGAGGACGAAGACGAAGACGAAGGACCTAGCGAACCCGATCGAAATGAGGTCAGTGACTGGCGTTGCAGGCGCGCAAGAAACGAGATCGGGATAGGAAAAGAAAAAGGACAAGCTGGCAGGACCCTTGGGCATTGTGCCAAGGCGTAACGGTTTTCGCTGTTTTCTGAAGCCGCCTTTGTTTTGTTTTTCTTTTTATTTTTATTTCTCTTTTTTTTTTAGTCCAGGACGTGTCTGTTGAATAACAGGCCAAATTAAAGCAGGGCAAGTTTCGGTCAAGGATTAGGTTGACCAACGGTCAGTTGGGAATTTTCGGTATACAGAAAAGTATTATGTTTACTATAAACAGAGCAAATGAACATTATGTATTATTTGCTTAAATATAAAAAAAATCGTATATATACGAATGAAAAACATATGAAAAAGTATTCATTGAATCAATCATTCGAAAGTATAGAAAAACTTTCAGTTTTTTACATTCGTTTCTCAATTAATTTAGTGAATTTTGTAATTTTGTCAGTAAATAATTATCTATACACTTTAAAATAAAGAACCGTTTCCATTGGTCAACGCACTTAAATGCGACCCTTGTACAGCTTCCATAATGGAGTGCAAAAACTGACATTTTCTAACCCAAAAATGGCCCTTGACTTTGGTCTAACCCCCGCAACCCCTAAGAAAATGAAAACGGCCCAACCCTTAGCATCCCGAGAGTTGAAAGTTCAAAGAACATTCTCGGACATTTTTAATGAAATTGACATGGACCCGAGTTTTGGGTCGAAAGTGAGATCACATCGGTGGCAGTAAATTCAATTAGTTTTTGGGCTGAAAAGTTCAAGATCTTCGTGTGCCCAATGGACATTGGTCAGCAGATCAGCGAGGATCAAAAGGGGCAAGGGTAAACCCATCTAGCGTAGCGAAAAAGGATGTTCCGTCCAAGGAAAAAGGGGTTAAGTCGCCAAACTGGTTTCTTGTTGCTCATCAACCGTTGTTGATTTATGGGCTCGCCACCCCAGACATTCCCTAACCCTTTTCCCTGGCAAAGGTGACAGATCAGATCAGATCAGATCCCCGGGGCGTAAGTAGAGCAGCATCCCGAAACGGGATGATGATCTTTCTTTCTGGCCACTCGCCTGCGTGTTAAAATCCCAGACCCTTCTTTCAAACACAACGGGGGGAGGGGGCATTACGTAAGAAATAGATGATCGGCGATCTGCAATCAGCTGCCTGACCAATTAGTCAAATGTCCTCTTCGGGAAAAGAGATTTCTCTTGGGAAAGTGTCAGCTGATCTGAAACCAAGTCCGAAATATGTATTTCAACACACACGACGCACCGCACAGTTCAGGTGAAACAAGTTTGGGATTTTCACAATTTCAGCATCATTTGGCGGCTCGTTCTCAGCACCTTTTGACCCCGAGACGAGTGTCGTTTTAACTGCGCCCAAAAGACAAAACCGAAAAAAACTCTGACTAAGAAACACCAGCAGCAAACAACTCGTAATATGTTTTTATTGCCATAAAGATATGGTGCTGCGACTTAGATGAAAGCTGACCGAACTGACCGCCAACTGGATAAGTGGTCAGCAGTTTCCGTTAGCCCTCCGTTCCCATCTTTCCCCGCTCATTTTTACCTTCAACTAAGGTGACCCAGGTGTACCAACATAGCGCGTCTCGTTTGTCCCAACAAAAGGCGACAAACAGCACTAACTTAATTGCTTATATCTGTCACAACGCCAAGTTCGAGATCTCCTCTTCATGTCATGCTTATTTCCTTGGGAATCTACAAGATTCTTGGTCATTCCTTAGTGGGGTCGTTCTTCCCGAAGTGCCTTACTGTTCAAATAATAAACCTGAATAAAACTTTGCATAGCAACCAATCAAAATTAGTAAACAATCTAAATCTTAAGAACCCACTCCAAATATACATAAGATATCTTGAAGTGAATCAACCCGTTTCTTGGTATCCATATATTTTGGCCATGAAAACATCAATTTATCCAGAAGATACAAATATGTTTTGTAACAATTACAGAGAAATTGCTGTTACAAAACATAGTTAAGAAGACGAATTGTATGGAACAAACGTTATATACAGAAAATTTGGTTATAGGTTTCTAAATCAAAATTATGTGCAAGTGGCTCTTGTATACCCAAGTCATGGTTATTATACAAATAATTTGGAAAAAAGGAATACATTTAAATCGGAGTTATTGGTTCTTTGGAACGTTATTTAACACAAATTCTCTGTTGGGTCGCACACTTTTCGTATCCGGATTGTAAATACCCAGGAAAATGTTGCACTTGGAGCAGTAAAGGTATTCCCGATTATCCGTGGTCGATAAACAGGGCAGTAGGCGCAACGGCCAGCAGTTGGCACACCATCCAGACTGCAATTCAGAGGCGGCCTTAATTACTGGACGTCTCTTGGAACAGCAAGCCGGGCAAAAAATACTGCCATTCGAGGCACACCACTGGTGCACGGAGGACTTAAAGCACTGCTTTCGAGTCGACATGGCCTCATTCTTGCCACATGTACATGGATGGTCCTTTGTGGCGGATACCTTGCAAGTCGCAGTCGGGACTTTCTTGGATTTCTCCGGCTCTCCACTCCAGTGGACAGAGCAATTCTTCCTGGCCATATCTGTTCAAACACACATTTTTATATGTACATAGAATTTTCCTTGTTTTGTTATAGAACTTATAAAACGATTTTTAGCTTTAAAAATCGCTCAGCCAGCATTTAAGTTAGTTCATTGACTTTATATCAGTGGTACAAGCCTTCAATTATTTTTAGAATCAACTTACATCGCTCAGCTTCTTCAGCCATTTGGGACTCCGAGAGACCAGTCATTTTGCTGATTTGCGACAGGCGATCTTCGCTGATTCCGTGATCTGAAGCCAGTTTATGAAGATTCTTGATCCTTGCACTAGCCACGGCGAAAATTTCCGGGTGATCCTGTTCGATGTGACGAACGAGTCCAGTGGTATCGTATCGGGAGCATTTGACCACCTTCATGCAATGCATGCAGCGGAGGCACTGCTCATTGTTCAGTGTGTTTGGGTGGGACATCTGGGTTCTTTTTTATTATTTACTAACAATAATAAGTCGACTCTTATTTTAAGTAGTAGCAGGGTTTGTCGACGGAGAAAGTCGGACTGCCAAATGTGTAGGTTCGACTTTAGGTCATTAAGTCACAGCTTGCTCAAAGCAACTCCAAAAATTTTGTTATTCCAAAAAAGTTCGAACAACATCTTTATATATTAAAAATAATAACTTAAATGCCTTCATAACTAATATATTTTTTAGTATATTAAAATATTGGCTTACTAAAAGCTTGATTGTGTGCAACAACAACATGTTTCGCAGAACTTTTGCAATTAGAACTAAAGATAAGAAAATCGCTCGGCAAGCGATTGGCAAATCCATAAGCAACCGCATCCAGTGGTGCATCATGCAATCTTCCCCTTCAATTTCCATTTGCCGCATTCATAAAACAAACATAAAAAAAGAAGCGAAGAAGCAGCGGCAAAATCATAATAAATATCTCGCGTAAATGCAACAAATTTGTGGCGCATGCGCAACCAGCAACCGGCTGCTGTTGCCGTGTAATTAACAAAAACAACAGAGAGGCCCCGCACCACCCACTGCACCACCTGCACCACCGCCCACTTTGCCACCTTCGATGAGCTAACCTTTTTTTAGTCTCTCTTTTTTTGTTTTGTTTTTTGTGTTTTTTTGTTTTTAACTGGCGGCACGCGCGATGCAATTTTTGGTATCTGCAAGATACATTCGCCGCTTTTATGATTTACGCTCGCCTCGCTTTATATAATCGGATCGGGGGCCTGCACAGCCCAATGAAAAGTTGTGTGTTCAAAAAGAAGCATTTCATAATTGAAAATGTTGCAACTATTTGGTAGCTCCACCATCCATCCATCCATCCATCCATCTGTTTGGTCGGCTGACTCTTGGCTGCGTTGCATGTTTGATTTTCTGCTAATGCAATGCGGCATCTTGTTGCTGTTGTAATTAACAGCCCCGTGTGTGCCTTTTTTTTCGTATCTGCGGGAATAAGAGGCATCCAAAACTGCACTTCAGGAGGAAGTGGCCGCATATCAATTGCCTGGAAATGCGATCAAATCACTGCCGGGTTTCGTTCCGAACACCTCGCACATACGTTGCTTTTAAGAGGCGCCCATAAACACAGTCGATATGGCAGCGATTTTAAGATGGGGCTTTACCAGATTAATGGTAAAAAAGTTATATGGTTTTTCCGAGTGCTACAAGATAAGAGCTTAGAGAAAACTGACAGCTTAACTTGCCTTTTTTTAAAAGGATTTATTTCATTTTTTGGTTATTGGCCTAACCTCTAAAAATTGTTAGCCAATACTTACACTAGTATTTTTAACTCATTTCTATAACATATTTAGAAAAATCTTTGTGTTTATTGTATCTTAAAAATGCACAGGGTTATTGATTATTATTGATATATTCAAATTGCATTGTTAAATTACAAGAATACATATGGGATTTAAAGTTAGTTAACCAGCCCGTTGTTCTTTTAATTTTACTGGATTTTTTTACCTGCAGAAAACTCTAAAATTGCCTCGAAACCCTAAATTCCCAGGAAGCTATCATTAGTCATATTTAAATATGGAAATCGCTTTGATCTCAGTTGACAAGGCCAAAAGCTGCACACTTAGGTCTCAAGTTCTTTGGGGCAAACGGAGAGGCTCTTCTCGCGCGGCGTCTTTCGTGATGGTTAGTTCCCAAACGTATTCGCTTACCATGTCCGTGATCCGCTATCGCATGTCTAGTATCACTTTCGATGGCCTTATCATCGCTATCTCCTCTGGAGGAGCCACTACTCAAGGGGGAGATTCGCGCACGCGCATCCAACACCAAACAGACTCGCACGGATGGATGGCTAAATGGACAGATGGTTGGATGCATGGATGGATCATCCATGGAGGAACTCAGGTTTCGCCATACGAACGCAGACTGCCTCCAGACGGCCATGTCATTCGAGGCCACTTCTTACATAAGGAGGCTGCACCACCCAACCAACAAGTCATCAGACCCGCTTTTAATGGTTCTCAGAGGGTATTATGATTCTTCACAAAATATTGCTTACACAAACAAAATATATAAGGTATAATAATTCTTTGGATATTGCATCTTTAAACGAAAGTAAATTTCAATTTTAACAAAAAGAACAGAAAGTTTATCAAAAGTCTCTATAAATTATTATAACCTTTTGGGAAAATGCAAAATGATTACTTGTAGATATAATTAAAATATCTATATAAGTTAACATTTATATTTCAATTATTATTGGGTATTCATAATAACAAGCAATCTAATAACAATCATTGTTTTTAGATATAAATGTTTAAACAAGTAGAGCCTTAAATGTATTTCGAGAAAATCTTTTAAACTTAAAAAAGAATCAAATCAAATTTAGGGACTACTAAAATTCGATTATATCTTATAAAAGCTAGGGTACAACGCTTCGACAACTAAAAGAATAGATAGATTTGGTTTTTTAGCTCTTTGTGCTGAGCTAAGCGCGGTGTCAAGTGATTTTGGGGAGGGAGAAAGAAAAGAAAAATCGGAAGAAAAAGAAGTTGGAGAATTGGAGAAGGAAAACACTTATTTCATTTTGTCACGCGGCTGGATTTACCGCAATCATCGCGATGATCTTTGTTTCGCTGAAGATCGATAAACGATTGGCAATTGGGTGTCGTCGGCCGATTTCCTGCTTCACACATTAACAGTCGCCCGGCGTCCGTAACCCCATCATCGATTGGTGTATAAAAAAACACAAACCACTCAACTCCCCAAAGAGTTCTCCTCTTTGTTTATGCACTAGTGTGCCATGCGTGTGCGTATCTGTGTGATGGTCTTATTTAGATGTGTGCGAGTATCGGTAGGTTTTTTCGACGGTCACGTCCCCTACATAAATATCCATAAAAAGTAATGCTCACATCCGTCCGGATGAAATGCGTTCGTGTTTGGCGCGAGAGCAAGAGCATTGAGAAGAGTGAAAGAGAGAGGGAGGTATCGTGAGAAGAGAGGGGAGATCATTGGGAGGGGGTTGCAGATTAATATTACACATAGAAAAATATAAATATAGAATATAAACACCTCAAAGGGTTGATAATCCATTTTAATTTAAAAACAAGAGAGAACGCTATAGTCGGGTTCCCCGACTATCAGATACCCGTTACTCAGGTAAAGGGAGTGCGAGGGAGATGGAGATAGAAACTTTGATCACGCATAACTTTTTAACGAATGGTCCGATTTAAAAATTTTCTTCTACATTTCGATAGGTATTGATAAACACAATAAAACTGCATTTTTACTTTTCCGAAATATTTAAATTTTTAAAATCGTATATAAGCGATTGTGGGCGTTAAAGGGGGCGTGGCACCATTTTGAAACAAACTTGCGCTGCGTAGGAACTCCTGGAATCTGCTTGCAAAATGCCAATCTTCTAGCTTTTATAGTTTCCGAGATCTCAGCGTTCATACGGACAGACAGACAGACAGACGGACAGACAGACGGACAGACGGACAGACGGACAGACGGACAGACGGACAGACGGACAGACGGACAGACGGACATGGCTAGATCGACTCGGCTAGTGATCCTGATCAAGAATATATATACTTTATAGGGTCGGAAACGCTTCCTTCTAGCTGTTACATACTTTTGCACGAATACAATATACCCTTTTACTCTACGAGTAACGGGTATAAATATATTCCGTTTTGGGAATAATCCATATATAATAATCCAGAACAACTAAAATGTATATCACCAACATTTATTAGTGTTTTGGGATTTTCAATTCAGTTTGATTTTCATTTTAAATCATCAACAATAACAACTTAAAAATGTATTAAGCCCAATATCGATCCTCAAACTTTTCTCTCTCTGTCGCGTAGTTTAAGAATCTTGCAACACTTTCGTTCATTCTCAAGCCTTCAAGCCTGCTCTATCGTAAATCATGAGCGATAAGATAACACCCGTAAAAATAAGTCAAAACCTTCACACGATCAGAGCGAAATCAAACAAAGATATAGACACTGGCATACCTGAGATGGCGGCATCCCATCCCGACGCACATTCGATGGAGTTATCGGGCGAGACAGGCAGGTGTCCAACACATCGGGGCAAACAAATGGGTCTCATATATATACATAAGTCCATAATATCCATCCCATCCCGAGGGTCCAGGGAGAATACATACAGAGTGTTTTGATTTGTTGCCTCATTGGTTTTGGTTTTTCGGTTTTGTTTGGGTTTATTGCGGTTCAGTTGGTTCAATATTTACCCTGCTTATCGAGCACCCACAATCCGGAACCCAGGGCCCAGAATCGGGATTCGGTGTCAGATTCACAGCGAGTCGACAGGGAGAAATAGGTCAGGGGAGAATCGATTCATTTAAATGTATCCCATGCATTTATTCCGATCAAATATATTTAAAAACTCTTCATCGGATATCCACAAGTATGTGTAATAAAGCGGAACTGACAGATCTTGCCATTGGCAAATCCATGGATATTTTCGGTGAAGGCTCGTGTCGGGGTCACCACTCGTGTGGCGTCAGCAACCTCCACTCGAGTCTCACTTCTAGCCCAGACCTTCCTCGTGGAACGTTCGATCGGAGGCTTCTGTCTAATTAGCCAACTGTTTGGTATCGAGTACCGTGTGGCAAGGTCGCCGGATTCTTCGCCACGTACCGCCTTGAACGCAATTTACCGGTGGCCATTCGAATATTTACAATCCAAGTCCACATCCGCCCACCAGCTGCTGCTGCTTCTGCCACCCAACACCCAACACCCCACAATGTTTCAAGGCCGCTCATGTCGTGCTCAGCGGACCCACATCCTCCCGGCCAATTAGTATTAGTTCTTAACTTGTGCAAATAATTCAATTAGCCAATTATCATAGCTCGATTGAAAATTCAAGTTGATGCGAGTAATACCCTTTGAGATATTAAATTTCAAAGGTTATCATTGGTTTTTTCAGTAAATATACGATAATAATATTATTATCATTAACAAAATAGTACATTAAATAAAACTACATAAGGAAGAAATTCTAGAAAGAAACTCTAAATGTTTAATGAAA